AACTAGATGGAGGTGAGCACCTGGCAGTGAGGATCACACCATACAGAGTAAACTAGATGGAGGTGAGCACCTGACAGTGAGGATCACACTGCAGAGTAAACTAGATGGAGGTGAGCACCTGACAGTGAGGATCACACCATACAGAGTAAACTAGATGGAGGTGAGCATCTGACAGTGAGGATCACACCATACAGAGTAAACTAGATGGAGGTGAGCACCTGACAGTGAGGATCACACTGCAGAGTAAACTAGATGGAGGTGAGCACCTGACAGTGAGGATCACACCATACAGAGTAAACTAGATGGAGGTGAGCATCTGACAGTGAGGATCACACCATACAGAGTAAACTAGATGGAGGTGAGCACCTGACAGTGAGGATCACAGTAGAGCAAAGAGTAAACCAGATGGAGGTGAGGACTCCGTCGTGAGCCACTGTCTGTGAATCACAAAGACTATGTCACAGCCAGAGATGAGTGCTGGTGACTCGATGCACTGCCCTGTCTCCCTCTAGGAATGCATGGCTATGCAGCTATACTGACTCAGATCTTCGTGCTTAAGCGACAGGAACTTCACTGAACCATTGCTCAGCCCCACAAGCCTAGTATTTTACATTTTTGTTTTCAGAGGCCTCAAGCAGACATTCTGTTTAGGCTTCGTTTCAGAATTAGGTCACAGGTCACAGGGGAATCTACCTTCCATTCCAGAGTGCATCTGAGAAAGCATCACTGTCTCTGGCCCGTGCCTAAGATCAACACCATCTGCAGTTTAGAAACCAGCGCTGCCAGTGTTAATCCCACCAACGGAGAAGACTACTAAGATGGTTTAAAGTCAAATCTGAAGAAAGCTTTAACTAAATACTGGCCAGGTGCATGGGCTCTGCCTAGGTCCATACTCAGAAAATGGCCCAGAGTCACAGTTTGCAGCAGCTTGAGAAGGAAAACCCATAATTCATTGCATTTCCCACCAGATCCAATCAGGAGCAAGCATTTATCCTGATATATCTCTAGCTTACATCACATCAGTGGCAAGTGTACATCCTGAAGTATTTTCTGCCTGTTAACCTCCAATCCACAGGAGATCAAGCACATCTGGTGCAGATGGGTCAAACAAATTTTTTTAGGGGAGTGATAACGTGTGACTTGTTATCTCCCATAAACAATAGCTTTCAGCATTTCAAGATCTGTCCTTGGGTAAGGGACTTGCAGATCAGAGACACCTTTGTTTCATAAATCTCTTAGGCATAGTAATTAAAACTTAAAATGTAACTTTGGCTCTCACATTAGAACTCTGTCCCCTAAAGACAAGTCTTTCTTCTCTTCCTTGTGTACTTATTGTTTGCTTTTCTATTCTAGAAATGGGGTTTGACGTAGCCCAGGCTGGTCTTGAACTTACTGCGTAGTTGAGGCTGACTCAGAACTCCTGATTTTCCTGCCTTTACCTTCCAAGTGCTGGCATTGGAAGTGTTGGACACTACACCTGATTGTTCCCTTCCACCCTCACTATCTCACGGATACTCGTTCCAGAAGAGGAAAGAGAGAGAACAGGGTTTGTAAAGATAAAGGCCTACCACCTTGGGTAGCCTTGGATAATCCGTCATATTGTCAGGACAACACAACCCTGGACTGATGCAGCCTGAGCAACCTTGGGCTATCTCACGTTCAGGCTAGTTGGAAACAAACACCTATGGCCCGCCTCTCCCATTTTTCCTTTCCTTTTCGTGTATGTGGTAAGTCAAATTCTCCTCCCTCCCTCCCATCTTTCAAGTCCTCAGCTCCAATTATTTGCACCCACAAACTCTTCCCATGGGAGCATTTTTAAAATCCTCCCCCACCTTTTGCCAGCTACTCTCCAGTCACTTTAGGTAAAGTTTTGTCACTTTCTGACACCTCTTTTTCTGTGAATACATGTAAAACAGCTCCATTCAGTGGATATGCACAAAAGCGGTAGTCACAATACCTTCAATTAAGGAAAGGAGCGGCCGGCCATTCACTTTGAACTGTTCTAGACTCAACATAAGAATGCTGCTCAGTGTTCCAGGAGGGGATCAGATGGCCTCTTCAGATTCTTCTCTCACAGTTCACTTCCTTCCCTCCTCTTACCTGGGCCTGTGTCCTCCCGCAAACAAGGCTGCTGAGGACTTGATCCAACTGGGGTCAATTTCTTAGCTATGTGACATGGGACAGCTATTTAGGCTTTATTTTCTCATCTGACAAGGGGGTTCTCAATAGAATCCTTCTCCTAGGTTATTATACACATTAACAGGGTAAATTTAAATGAAGCACTTTAGGCAGCTTTTAGCAAGCTAGACAGGACTTGAAGGTATTTCCTCAAACATGAGTACTCAGTACTTAAAATATTCACTTCTATTTCTTCCTTTAAAAAATTTCGATTACAGTAACCCCTTCCTCAAAAAGCACATCTTAAAACTGAATAGTGTTTCAGTCACATGAGTAGGTAGACTCTCAAAGTAACTGTGATCTAACCACTACTGATACTGTTGCCATGGGAAGCTTTTTACGTTTTTCAGGGTGTGGTTTGGGGATTGAGCCCAGAGCCTCAATTCATGCCTGGCACACCACCATTAAGCTACATCTCTGGCCCTACAAACATAATTCTAAAACACAATTTACATGGAAGATAGGACATGCTGATTACTCATACAAATAAATACAAAACAATACCTTGGTTATCTTGCTAGAAAATGTGTTAATATTTTAAGGGATTCATATCTATTTATTGTCATTGTATATCTAGTTCTGCAAAGGGTCTGGGATCAACTTCTTATCAGGTTTGAGGTATGTGCATGTGTATATATATGTATGTGTGAGTGTGTGTGTGACAGAGACAGAGAGAGAGAGAGAGAGAGAGAGAGAGAGAGAGAGAGAGAGAGAGAGAGAGAGAGAGAGAGAGAGAGTGTTCCTTAGAACAGAACAGGACTCCAGACATGCATAATTCCATTAGCCCCAGGACTTGGCATTTTCAACCAGACTCACAAGTCATAAAACACTAGTCATATAAAGTAAGTGCTTTGGGCTTTCCCATGTTCACTTACTAGAGGACTCAGCTTCCCAGAGAGAAATCCCCCACTGAGGGATGTTAGCCTCCTGGAGAGAGCACAAAGATCCACAAAGTCAGATTTACAGCAAGGAAGCTGGACCTACCAGCCACTTCCTTTTTATTATCTCCCCACATAAGGAAGTACCGTGTTTGCCTGGAAGTTTTGTTTCTTTTGAAATAATTACAAACTGTTGGTAAAATCACTCAGTTAGTTAAAAACAAAAAAACCAAGCTTTCCAGTAAATTTGCATTTCAGGTCAACTGGAGTGCTTCGTATTTGTTTGTTTGTTTCTGTGTCCTGGATACAATATTTGGGAAGACAGAACATTATTCCTGCTCATCCAAGATTCAAATTTTACCAGCCATTGTATTTAATCTGGCTACTCTACCTGTCAGATCAATTATTTCTGAAGGTATTACTGCCTTCTCTCACTGATTCTTGCCATCATCCAAATGCATGCACATTAGACATTTCTGTGCTTTGAAGGATTGTGTGTTGAAGGGACAACGGTACACCAACTTGTCACAAGATTCTAGAAACTACTTCAAGAATTACCAAGGATTCTCATTTGCATTGAAACTGGGAAAGAAATGCATAATCTCACAGAATTGTGTATTTTATCGCTTAGTTGCCTCTGTACAATTACAGAAATAGATAACTTAATTTTTATTTAAACATGCTTATTTTTCCAAAGAGTGAGTGGAATCCAGTTTGTGAAAAACAAATATGGGACAATACTGCCACCTGGAGCTCAGAAGAGCAATGAGCCTTCTAACCGAAAAGAAACCAGTTAACAGGGATGCCTGCTTTGACCCTAACTTCCTCCTTGCTGCCATGGGGTTTAATTTCCCCTAACTGCTTCATATTTACTATGCTGAACACTATGCTGGCCTTGGTGAATATAAAGACAGGAAGGCCCAGATCCGTCCTCGAGGAACTAGTGAAAAGAACGCCCCAATTGACCCCAGAAACCAAGGATGCAAATGCACAGTTGAACCTCACAGGAAGGACATGCTGGCACACCTGTAATATCAGAACTGAAGAGGCAGAGGCAGGAGGACAACCTCAAATTGAAGGCCACCCTGTTCTACATAACAAACAGTTAAGGTTACATAGCAAGACTGTCTAAAAAATAAAAATCTATCTTTAATGGTAGAAAGAGTGCTTCTTATTTCTAGGTCAACAGTAAATGGTAGTTTATATTTTCCCATTCACTGTGGAGAACCTGTCTCCAGGGACACTATTCAGTGTATAGACTACCTTGCTGACACACATTCTGCCCCTTTTCCTCAGACCTCTGCAAGGATGTTGAACCCAGCTCTCTTCCTTGGACTCCTACAGTAATTCTTTCAGGGAGCTTTGAGCCTATAAGGGATTACTCTGGGTGAAGGTATGGTGTGTGCGTGCATACACACATATACAATAGTAACAATTACAGGTCAAATGACAGACTTCATCATTCTTATTTTTAGATTGTTTTGTTTTAGAGACAGCATTTCATTCTATAGCATAGGCTAACCAGCATAGGCAGGACTATAGTTCTGAGATTCCATATGTTAACCACCACCTTTTGTTTTTTGAGACAGGGTCTTTTTATGTAGCCTTGCCTGCCCTGGACTCACCATGTAGACCAGGCTGGCCTCAGCTGCACAGAAACTTGCATACCCTGAGTCCTGGGATTCAAAGTGTGCATCTCTGAAACTGGCCAACCACTGTTTTTACAGTTCTTCCTACCATTTCAACTGCCCTTTGCTCTGCCTCCCTTTTTGGCTTCCTTTAGCAGCAACAGTGAGATGCCCCAGCTCTACTCCAGTGATTCTTTCCTCTTTATCACACAGAGCAAGTCAACTTTCTCAATTTTGTGTCTTCCATTCAGCCTCCTGTCCACCTAGGCATATGTAGCTGTCATCATTCATTATGAGCACACAGCAGCAGGACATCTACTTCTTCTTGCCTTTATTTCCCCTACTGTGTTAGTTTGCTGTAATAAAAGCAACTTGGAGAGAAATCCAAGTCCCAGCCCCAGTCCATCACTGAGAGAAGCCGGGGTGGGAACTCAAGGAAGGAACCTGGCGCCAGGAACTGAAGTAGAGGCCATAGAGTAGCGGTCCTTAACCTGTGGGTGGTGACCCCTTCGGGGAATCGAACAACCTTCCACGGGGGTTGCCTAAGACATGGATAAAGAAGATATTTATATTACAATTCATAGCGGTGGCAAAGTCAGTTATGAAGTAGCAATGAAAATAATTTTATTTTCGTGGGGGGGGCACCACAACATGAGGAAATATATTAAAGGGTCTTGGCATTAGGGAGGTTGAGAACCACGGCCTTAGAGAAATGAGGCTTCTTGGCTTGCCTACTGTCTCACCCTGCTTGTTCATACAGCCCAGGACCACCTGCCTAGGGATGGGGGGGGGTTGCTGGACCCTCCTACCTCAGTTGTTAAAAGGTCTCACAGACTTGCCTACGGGCCAATGTGTTGGAGGCATTTTCTCCATTGAGGTTCCCTCTTCCAGAAGGCCCTGGCTTGTGTCAAGTTGACAAATGAGTAGTAACCAGACACTTGATGACAGAAATTAAGCAACTCAAAGTTGGAGCGTGGCAGCAGTTTGGATTTTAAAGCCTCCTTGCTATCTAAGGGGTAAGCCTTATTTGCCTTCTTCGTTTCCTGTCCTGTCCCCCTTGCCCTTCATGCTAGCCAGAATTCTCTAAAGTAACAACTGATAGAAAGAACACACACCCTCATCATATATATTATATATCATTTATATGCATATATGTGTGCGAGTGGCTTATAGGCTCTGGTCACAGTATGTCTTCACAGCTATAACCATTCTTCTGCTGTTGGTTTCTTTTACTCTTTTCCCACATTGAACACCAAAATGTTGCTGTTTTTTACTCTTTTCTCAAATAAATCACACACAGAGTCTTACTCTTTCTTATAAATGCATGGCCTCGGCTTGTTTTTAGCCAGCTTTTTTTTTTTTTATCTTAAATTACCCCTGTTTACCTTTTGCTTCTGGGCCTTTTCCTTTTCTTACTTCTGTATATCCTACTTTCACTCTTGCTCAGCGGCTGGCTGGCTGGCTGGGTAGGTGGGTGGCTGCCCCCTAGAGTCCTCTTTATTAGGACCAACAGGTGTTTTAGACAGGTAAAGAGCCACAGCTTCACCGAGTTAAACAAATGCAGCATAAACCAAAGTCACATCTTTTCTACAGCATTCTTCCTTTTACTTTTTGCTACTTTGTAAGACATTCCTTCAAGTGTTTTTATCGTCCTTGTAGCACTACTTTTAGTAAACTCTGAAAGTCTAGCCAAGGAGAGAAAACTGAAGGCTGTAATACAGTGTAGCTAACTTGTGACCCGGGGGCAGTATGCTTTGTTTTCTGGCTCAGCCATCTTTTAAAGCTTTTCCGATTACAGCAGCTTGGAGAAGATTCTTGAGGATCAAAACAACCTCAGCTCTCTTTGACACCTATCTCCTAAGCTAGTCAACTACTTCAGCTTTAAAAGAGAAGAGTAGATTTGACATGCAAAAACTCAGGTAAAGCATTAACTTTGGAGAACTATAACCCCCAAATTAAAAGTTTTATTGCTTGTTTTTAACAAGAAGGCATCAGAACTTCAAAGGTTGGGTAATCAGATCCTTCATCAGACTCCTTGGAAAAAGGCAGGTGTAGCAAAGCCCAGATGCTCAGCTGAGGAAAGAGCACCTGCTTGGACACTGGTGATGCCATCTGGCCAGCATGTGACTAGGCCAACTCCCTCAGATGTCACAGTTTCACATGGGGGCTTAGCCGGATGTGATGCTTCCCAGCTGCCATTTCAGCATTTGGGGGAGGCTGAGGCAGGAGGATAGCACATTGGAAGTCAGCTCCGTCTGTTGCGGAATATTGATTTAAGATGTGTTACGTTTGTTTGATTAACTAAAATTAACCTGAGGTCAGGAGGCTGAGGCAGCAACTATCTGACAGGATGTGGTAGGGAGGAACCATGTATAACTAGGGTTCTTAAGGGGGGTGCAGAGCAACCTTGCTGCTTTGGGGAGACAAGGTTAGCTACTTGCTCTCCAGCCTCTCTGAGCATGCAGAGTTTCACCTCAACCTTTGAATCCTGAGTTCTTTAGAGGGATAGAGATTAGATAAAGCTCACTAAAGTGAGTGTGATAGAGCCAGTGCCTGAGGGAACAGAATTCCCACCTGACCTCCCTCTGCAGCAATTGCCAATTAGGACAGCAATTGCTTAAGAGACAGTCACTGAATTTAATGAAAAATAGCATTGGTTTACAGAAAATCCTGCCAAAAAGAGCTAAGCATGGCTCTGTAGTTGGCATTTTTTTTTTTTGAGCCGCAAACCAACTCCCAAATAAAGACACGGAGACTTATGAAAGCTTGGCTTTTAGCTTATGCTTGGTCCCACTAGCTCTTATAACTAAACCTGTTTCTATTTATCTATGTTTTGGATTGGGACATTTTACCTTACTTTTCTTTCATTCTACATGTCCTGCTCTCCTGCTTCCATCATGTCTTTTTGGCTGGCCGGTACCTGCCATCTCCTTAGCATCCATCTCCTTTTCTCCTTCTTTCCTTTTCTTTCTTTCTCTAGAGACTAGATTCCCCTTTCTACTTACTCTCTCTGCCAGGAAGTCCAGCCTATACCTCCTATCTATTGACTGTTTAGCTTTTTATTTGCCCAATCAGGTGCCTTACACAGGCAAGGTGACCAAACACAACACACGTTTACATAGTCGAGCCAATATTCCACAACATGGTTCCATGCCTGTGATTCCAGCACTCAGGAAGCCGAGGCAGGAAAACTGCAGTGAGTTTATAGCCAGGCTTGGTTATAGAGTGAGTTCCCTATGCCAAGGCTATATAACATAACCATGAATATGGGGGGGGCACACTGCTTTAATCACTGTATTTTCAGAAATAAAATAGAGAACTTCATTAATTCACTACATCTACTGAGCACCCACTTTATATTCTCTGCCATATGCTAAAGGTACAAAACCACACATATTTGCTCTAAGTGTGTTTATCAAAAACCATTATATAACAATATCAGATGTCTTTAAAATAAGCAATACAATATTTTAAACACTATGGGTTTCTTATATTTATTTTTGGCCTCACACTAAAACCTGTTATATCTCAGAGTAGAAATGAAGTAGTTTCTCTTGGTTCACTGCTTAGCCTCTTTCTTTTGGTGCCAGGGTCTCAAGCTTGCCGGACCAGTAGTCTACCCCAAGCCCTGGTGCTTATTCCATGACACCAGGCGTACATTCTTGAGGTGTGGTTACTCATGGCCGCTCCACCCAGCGGCTCCTCCTTCCAGTACCCGCAGTTCCCAGGAGCTCTCCAGATGCTCTTGTCTCTTCAGGAACAGTCTGGAGGCCCTCATTCAGGACAGTTCTCCCTTAGTCACTCAGCTCCGTTCTAGAGCACACATTAAAGCAGAGGTCTCACTAAGATCTGCAAAGGTAAACCAACTATGGCATGGCTTTTGGAATATAACTACCCATGAAGGTCTCAGCTCTAAGGCATGTCAATAGAACACCACACTGCAGCCTGTTCCTAAGCTGTTTTCCCTCTTTGCATTCTTTCATGGCATCATCTTCCAAAAGTAGAACTCAGACCCTGCCATGCCTTACAACTCTCAAGTGATTTTGTTGAAAATGTCTTACATTGGTTTATAAGCCCTCCATTACCTGATCCCCTGCCAATCTTGGGGTCTTCCACTTCTCCCTGCGTCTGCACCCCACACTCTCATAATGCCATTCCTTCAGTTCTATGGACACGGTAACCACACTTCTGCTTTAGGGCTGGGGAAGGGGGCACACAGACAGAGAAAACAGGCCATTTCCTTAGTCAGGCAACCAAAAGGATGGAACAGTGGCCCATCTCAGTGTAGGCGTTCTAGTAGGGGAGGAAAAGAAGATGGAAGGACACTTAGCAAACGATGGACAAGATCCCAAACAAAAACAAACAAAAGCAAAATCCAAATAAAAACTCCTTCCTATACGGACAAGGACAAGACCACATTTTCACGCACCGGAGTGCTCTGAGTTGATCAACCTACTTGTATTAGTTCCATTCTCTTTACTGTGATACAATATCAGCAGAAATATTACCCTGTCTCATGATTTGATGACACAGTCTCTTCTGATGCAGAGTGTAGGAGTGTGAGGCAGCTAGCTAACTTGTATCTACCACCAAAAGCAGAGAGCTAGGTGCACACACTCAGCTTTCTCCTTTTTATTTAGTCCAGGGAAAGTCTTCATTCAGAGTAAGTCTTAACCTCAGCTAAACTTCTCTAGAAAGGCCCTCAGACAAGCCCAGAGGCCAAGTGTTTCCGACTCTTAAGGACAGTCAAGGTAACAATAAAGAGCAGTCACCAAGCTGGTGGCTTAGAGCATACACTTCCCAAGTGGAAGGACAACAAACATCTGGAGCCAAACAGGGAACATAACAGCGGCTTCCAGATGCAGTTATCGCGTGAAAACTTTGCACAGGGAAAGATTAAAAAATAAAGTTACGCATGGTCACCTATACCTGTAATCTCAGAATTTTGAGAGGCAGAGGCAGGAGGATTAACACAAGTTCAGGACCAGTCTGGTCTACCTGGCAAGGTCCAAACCAGTAAGTGTACACAGTGAGGCCTCATCTTAAAAAGCAAAGACATAAAAATGAAGGAAAATCATGACATCCACGAGTTTAATGGAAACTGAACCCTAGCTGGATAGTTTTGCAGTCAGGATTAAGTTATCTGTGGAATATTTTGATAAAATAGCGGAGAAGGAAAAATGTAAGGCTGAAACATTAATGTTCCCCCAGCCCCCTGTAAAGATTTGCTCCCTCCATGTGGAGATATATTGGTAAGTCATAGAACATCTGAGACAGGGTATCTTGTGATAAGTCTTGAACCTTTGGAGGGACTTAGGATAGTCATTCAAAATGTGAATACCTCCAGTGCAAGGCATTTATTTACTTACGTGGAGAAAGAGTTTCATGTACCTCAGGCTCCTCCTGCTTCAACCTTCCTAGTTCTAGAATGACACACCTGAGCCCCATGGTGTGTGGGGACACCAGACCTTGAGCAGAAACCCACTTCCCCTTCAGCCTGGGAGCAGGCAGCTGTGAGATAATGTTTACTGAAAACAATTCAGTGCTATAAAGCTCTTGATAGGGCTCAGATAAGGGCTTGCTCACTGAAACACCATGACTTTGACACCCCCTAAGGCTAGATGCTTCTTCCTGTTCCCCCTGCTGTTTCTCCCCGATTCTGGGGCCGGAGATTAAACCACCAGCCAGGAGGGTGAGAAGTCTGGGAGAGTTGTTGGAGAATTGTATGTAGATGGATGGCAGAAGTCCTTAAAAAGGGAAGCGTTTTTTCTTGGGGAGACTTCTCCTAAGCGGACTTGGAGGCTCCTCCTAAGCTGACTTGGGAAGCATAAAGTTTTCTTAAAGCAACCGACCGGTCTCTGTGTCATCTATCCCGAACACCTCGCTACATTCTCGGATGCAGGCTGCACAGCAGGTGCAACAATGGTGGCTTTTCTTACATACATTCAGAAGGGCATTTTTCAGTGTCCCTAAATTATATCATAGGCTGTAAACTCAAATGCCACAGGACTCAGGTGGGTCATAAAAGGAAAGAAAAACTAAATACTTCTAAGTGTTTGGATCTGACTCCTGATATAAAGCAGATATTCATTATCTTAAATCACCACTACCAAGCTTCAGTGAAGACCTGGTCTTTCTCATGTATTCACAGATTGCCAATGACTCATTTCTTTTGACCCAACTGTTAGCAAATATTTTGAAAAAGAAAAGTTAGAACAGCACATGAACCATCCATTTCCTACTGACTCTGGTGGTCTGCAGAAAGGGAGATAGCCAAGGGGGATGAGAACAGGAGGGATCCACCATTTCTGAATGTGCTAATTCTTTAACCTAAAACACCAAATAAAAATATATAATGTGTGTTCATGTTGGAAAGTAGGATCATGAATGTTTTGTCTGTGTTAAAAAATTCCAGTTTTGTTTCGTTTTTTGTTTTTCTAATGGAAGAACATCTCATAGTAGGAGCCTAGGGACTTAGAAACTTTATCTTTGCTTTGCCTCTCTAGAACTGACTATATCTCTAGACACATTGCCTCCCTAGGTAATTAGGGCACAGAGGCTTCAATCTAAGAGGCTAGGAATATAAAATTCCCCATCTCCAAATCCCACTCTAAAAAGGCAACCCACACCAAGGAAAGAAAAATCCGTTTTCTTCTCTAGTTGAGGACTGAGCTAATGGGACCAGTATTCAGCACAAGATACTCCAAGACCAAGTTCTCAGCACAAAGGAAATTTATTTGCCAGAGAGGGACAAAAGGCAGGGGAGTAAGAGACAAAGATGAGAGTCAGAGGATGAGGGAGAAAGGGAAAGGAACAAGGGAGAGAAGGAAGAATAGTTGTTAGGGAGGGATAAAGGACGAGGCCCCTAAGCAAATGGTAGTGTATAAAGGCAAAAGGGGGGAACCCCATGTTATGATAAGGCTTTTATTTTTGATTGGGCATGCTAACTAGGTGAGCCAAAAGGGGCTTTTTGTTTTTGTGTTGTGTTTTGTTTTGTTTTGGAGACAGGGTTTCTCTGTATTGTTTTGGAGGCTGTCTTGGAACTCACTTGGTAGACCAGGCTTGGTCTCGAACTCACATCCACCTGCCTCTGCCTCCCGAGTGCTGGGATTAAAGGCGTGCGCCACCACCGCCAGGCCAAAAGGAGCTTTTGATTGCTGGACTTCAATACTTTGATAGCTGGACCTTGGTAGTCAGCTTCAGGAGGAGGAAGTGGCTAAATAAGGGAATGGATCTCGATGTCCAGCTTTAGGAACGTAATCTAATGGTTTTTAGCAAGGAAGAGGGAATGGGGGAGAAGGGCAAGGCCTGCCAGAGTCATCTTAGGTATGCTCTGGCTGCCTAGGGCTCCTTCATGAGCCTTCTCTCTCAACTGTCAATTCTTTCTCCCAGGGATGAAGTGGAGAGCCTTTCTGAATCTCAGATCCACGTGTAAAACGCGGATTATGACACCTATCTCAAAGGATTACCGTGAGGTAAACCCAATCGAGTGGCACATACCTGCAACCCCAGCACTTAAGTGGCGCTGGGAGGAGGATCAGGAGTTCAAGGCCATCCCGGCAACATAACCAGTTCTAGAGCAGTCTCGGCCACACGAGACCCTGTCCAACAGAAAAGAAAACTAGAAAGGCAGACACACAGACAACATAAACAAACCCAGCTCCTCCGAAGAACTGCAACGCTTGGACACTAGCTGTCTACGGAACTCCACTTGCTGGCTCAGCGTCAGGGGGGCTGAACCGTCTACAGTTTTGCAAGCCACATGCAAGGTAGCCAATCCGAGATCTGGATCCGCGGCTAGGGTGACAACAGGCTCCGCCTTCAGGTGTGCCCGAACGGCATGCTGGGAATTGCAGTGTACGGGGGGCGGTCATTCACCGTGGTGGCTAGCCGCTTCCGGTGAGGACACTAGACTGCCGATTCCCAAGAGGCCATCTCAGGGGCGGACTTGGAGTGGCCAGAAACAGTTTCTCTTTCCCGGAGCCTCCGGAGCGGTGCCTGAAGGCGGGCATGGGAGAACAGACCCAGGGCAGAGATGCGAGCCACGCTAAGGGACCCGGAAGGGGCGTGGCTTCCGCCTCATAGAGGGCTCCGCCCCGACGCATCACTTCCGTAAACAAAGGGCACTGTGGAGGCGCGGGTCCCGGGCTGGTGACCAGGGCTGACGACCTGGGCTATTGCTGCAGCTGTAGCCAGAGGCTTTGGACGCTCCCTGAGCTTTTCCGGTTAAGGAAAGGGATCCGCAGCCTCTTCTTTCTCCGGTATGTAGTGGGATGGGGGGACCCGCAACCTGCGCCTTCCGGCCCCTCAGCACCCGCTCTGGTCGCCGCTGGGTATTGATGGGTCGTCGCTGAGGCGGGGTGCGGAAGGGAGACGAAGCGCAGTCCAGAGGCCCCTGCGGTGATTCTGCTTAGAAGCAAGGCCTAACATTCAACCGTGAGCAGTTCGTCCTCTCCGGAACGGTCCCTGGTGCTTGCCATACCAAAAGGAGTCCAGCGGTCTTGTGACAGATTGTTGTCCTCCAGAAATGAGTACATCGCAAGCTTGTTCCCTCGGAGACCATTGGTTTATTTGCGATGTTTTACGGGTTAACTGGTTTTTTGTGTTGTTTTGTTTTTTAGCCTTTTGTCACCAAATACGTGTTAGCACCCTTAGATTTGAAGGTTTATGTGCTTATGAATTATACAGATCCTCACCTCTTGGAGACCTGCTTTGTCATCCTCAAATATCTGTTTAATCTGTATTACATGTTAAACAATTCCCAAATGACTCTAGTGGATTGGTATCTGAAATTAGACACTGGACGTTGGACCCTTTCCCAAGAAAGCCTTCCATTTGATAGAAAAAACATAAATGAAAAACAACCCCCCCCCCAACGTTGCCTTTATAATTCCCAAGTGATTCTTTCAGGAGTGACAGTGTCAGTCTTTTAAAATAACCGTGGCAGGATTAAATTCAACACTTTTAACTTTTAAATTGACTGTGTATGAGTGTTTTGTCTACATGCATGTCTGTGCACCGGGTGCATACAGTGCCCCTGGAGGCCAGGATAGGGCATGGGCTACCTTGGAACTGAAGTTACAGACTGTTGAAAGCCACCTTGTTGGTCCTGCAAATCGATTGAGTCCTCTGGAAGAGCAGCCAGTGCCTCCTAACTACTGAGCCGTCTCTCAAGCCCCACAGTATTTTTTTTAAAGACCTGACATTCATAATGCAATTAACGATTTGAAGGAATGGATAGGTATGCATATTTCTGATGACTCTGTGATCCATTAATAGTAGAATTCAGAAAAATTCTAAGCTAAATATCCGATCTCGTGACACATGCCCATCATCCCAGCACTTACACGCAGAGGGAGGAGCATCACCACAAGCTGAAGGCCAGCATGGCTGACACAGTAATTTCTCAACCAGTCAGGAACATACAGGAACCTTTTTTTTCTCAAAAAGAAAAGGTGAGGTGGGGCACACTTTTGATGCCTTTATAACCCTAGCACACAGGCGACAGGCAGGTGGATTTCTGAGAGTTCCAAGCCAGCCTAGACTCTAGAGCAAGTTCCAAGCCAGCCAGAGCTACATAGTAACACCTTCTTTAAAAAAATATATATATATATGTATATGCACAAAGATAAGATCTGGGTGTGGCGGTGCATAGCATACCAATATCATTACATAAGCCTTCAAGTTGCAGTTTAGACTACTGATGCCCAGATCTGGGTGTGGTGGGGCATAGCATACCAATATAGTGTACATTATATACGCCTTCAAGTTGCAGTTTAGACCACCGATGCCCTGATATACATCTGTTTGAGTGTGGTGTAGAAGAGAAATTGGAAGCTGGGGTTTTGCATGGGTGGTTTGTTTATATTGGCCACCTTATATACTGGTAGCTTCTTGAGGTTAAGGTCTTATTCATTATTGCTTCTTCAGGACTGATGACAGTGCCTCGTTTATGGAGGAGAATCAGTAGATACTTAGAAGATGTGTGAATAGAGAAAGTGCTAAAAAATTATCAGTTTTGATAAAGACCTTCGTGGGCATTAGCAAAGTAGAAAAGATATAAGGAATTCCTTGTCCTAACTTTAATGACTTGGAAGTGTTACTCTTTTGGTCTGTGAAGTGTGTCGTTCACTCTTCTTTGCATATTATAGCATATAGCTATATAATCACTGTTATTTCCCTATGTAGGTCTTACGAAGCTAGTGTTGATGCAACGAAGAACTTAAAACAATGGAAGAGCGGAAAGCGAAGAGGAAGAGTCCCAAGTCGTTCAGTGCCCACTCCACTCAGGTTGCTAATGCCAAAAAAAATGCCATCCCAGCTAGTAAAAGCACGGGCTTTTCAAATCCCACAGCACAGTCAACTTCCCAGCGGCCAAAGTTAAAGAGGTGAGTTCTTTTCTTTGACATTTCCCAGTGAAATGCTGTTAAGTAGTTATCTTCTCTGCCCAGACTCTTTTCCTCTGGTGCTTTGACTTTTCCCAGCACTGCAGCACCAATGATACAGAGATGGGGATCTTTGGGGCTCGTTGCTGAGGCAGTCTAGCCAATGTGGCAAGCTCTAGGTTCGGTGAGAGAGTATCTCAAAAAATAAGGCGGAAAGCAACAAAGGAAGATACCTGACATCAGCCTCTGGCCTCCACACATGCATGCACACACATGTACATACAACCATGTGCATGCATGCACCACATAAAATGTGCGTGCACACGCGTGCACACACACACTATGCAGGCCTTTTCTTGCAAAGAACTGATACCACCACTCCAAGTTCCATTTTTAAAAAAAGTTTTCACTTTATTCGTAGGTGGTTTTGTCTTTGTGTCTATTTGTGCATGCCTGGTGCCTGTGGATGTCAGATGGGAGGGAATTGGATCCCCCGGACCTGGATTAGACAATTGTGAGCTGCCGCGTGGATGCTGGAAGAGGAGCCAGGACTCTTAACCGCTGTGCTGCCTCTCCAACCTGAATTCTAAATTTCTTAAGAGTTGCTAGTTTCTTTCTTTACCCCACCCCATCCATGGGCTTACACCATGCCCTGTTTATCTTAACCTTGTGAGTATAGTTGTGGGGATGAGGTCTTCATTATTGTGTGAAAATCGAGTACTGAGTCTCTGTATGTAGAGTACTGAATTCCGAATCTACAGTACTAGTTAAAGATAACACCAACCCCTTTGGCTTTTTAACCCTTTCTGTTGTGGGTGACCCTGCGTTTGGGGTAGCAGCAGAGCATGTTGCAGACTCGTTTATTGAGGAAATCAGGCCTGCCTTTATACCCACCCTCCCAAGGTCCTATTGGCCCAGTGGCTGACTCTGCTGCGTTGTCCTTTCCTCATTGGTGTCTCTGGGTCAGGTGGCTCTTTGTCAGCAGTCTCTGGGTAGAGGCGGGCTTGGCTAAGGGAGGAAGTGCCTGCCTCGCATGCTCATGCAGCCTGGCCTGGGCACCTGAGGCTTAGGTAGGCTGGCTGCAGTTTCTCCTACACCTTACCTGGATAGCACCTTTAGAACCCTGGCTGGCTCTGTGCCTTGTGAGCTCCTGTTTCTCTGCTTTTATATAGGCATATGCATGGCGCCGTCTCCCTGGTGTCTGAGAGCCTGCAGTATCACATACACAGATGTGTGTGATGAGAATTAATCAAAGGGCTCCCAGATATCTTTCTGGGGAAATAGCAGCTAGACTGAGGCCTGCAGGGTTTGTGAGCAGCGGCCTGGTGAAGGTGTCGGGAAGTGAAGGATCTGAATGTAGGTCCACAAGTCAGATAAGAAGATGGCAATGTGCTTCTAGGAGGCTAATACCATTAGGGTTGGTTGTTTTATTTGAAACAGGGTCTCACCAAGTGGCCCTCATTGTTCTTGAACTCATGTAATTCAGGTTGGTGATCCACCTGCCTCTGCCTCGTTCCTCTGCAATGGGATTAAAGGTTTGAGCAAGCACACCCAAGGAAAGTTGGGTTTCTTAAGGGTGTTGGATTGAAGCAGACTCTTGAAGGCTTAAATTATGCCACCTGGCATTATTTGGAAATGGACTTGTCTGCCTCATGGGAAGGAAAGGGGGGCCAGGGACCATACACAGGACCACGTGGGTCATCTGGGAAGGTGTGGGGTGCTGTTAGGTCAAGACACGGGGTGGTGGCAGCAGCTAAGTAGAGTATAGAGAAGTTAGACTACATTACTCAGTTGAACTTTGAAACTGCATGAGGGTTCCTGAGGATGGTGGCAGGATTCAGGATGCTGCCAGGTATTTGAGTCTGGATTTTAAATGTCTTTCTCCTAAGCCCAAGCACTCCTGACATACTGTCTTCAGAGCAGGAACCCAAAAGACTCACCCAGCTATAAATAGTTCAGGGTTAACATTTAGAAAGAGAAATGTGTGATGCGCTTTACTGAGAAATGAAATATACAAAATAGCGTACTTGAAGGATTTATCAATTTTCTTTTCAATCTAACAAATTATCATATTACACAAACATACTAGCTAAACTTTTCACGTCTCAGTGATTAAAATTTATATATTTGGGATTTTCACCACCTGCTTTTCTTTGTTGTTGACTTGAAGCTTCATGTTTTATCTAGTATTGATTATCTTCTGATTTCTAGTTTCCAACAAAATGTTCATTTATTTAACTAAGAAGTTGAACTGGAGCTTAATGTAGAACAACCTGGAAGATCTAACCAAGGTCAATTGCATCTTCTCCACAGAGTGATGAAGGAAAAGAACAAACCTCCAGGAGGAGAAGGGAAGGGTGCTCAGGCCACCCCCATCCAGCACTCCTTCCTCACAGACGTCTCCGATGTCCAGGAGATGGAGCGCGGTCTCCTCAGTCTGCTCAATGACTTCCACTCTGGAAAGCTGCAGGCGTTTGGTAAGATGGCAGTGCGCTCTCCATGCTTTGTCTCTAGGATTCTCCATCCCGTGTTCTGCAGTGTCTCATTCTTCTTTTGTTTGGTGTGTTCTTGTGTGTGCGTGTGAAAGCAAAGGACAGCCTTTGGTGTCATTCCTCAGCACCGCCTGCCTGCCCCCCACCTTGTTGTAAGAAGGTCTCTCAAAGAACCATTTTCCTTTATTAAAAAGGAACACTGGATGTGGTGACTCATGCCTGTAATCCCAGTATCTAGACATCAGAGGCAGGAGGATGAGAGGCTCAAGGTCATCCTCAATGACCTACGGAGTGTGAGGCCATTCTGGGCTACCTGAAACTATCTCAGGACAAACATTCAGAGATGACTGGATTTGTGGCTTTGTTGGTAGTTGGTAGATTGCCTAGTGCTTACAAAATCCTCAATTTGACACTCACAGCACTACATAAAGTCCAACATGGCAGCGCACACCCCTAATCCTACCACTTGGGAAACAGAGACAGGAGAACCAGACAGTTCAGAGACATCCTCACCTATTTTGGAGACAACCTGGGCTACATGAGACCTGCCTCAAAAACAAGAACATACACTTAGTGTTGGGGGAAAAGAAGGGGCCACAAAATATATAGACATAAAATTTAAGAATTTTAGATTTTATTATCATGGACAATAATTGGCTTTCTAAAATTGTTGGGGGGAATTTTTAAACAGAGTTTTTGGGGCCAGAGAGATGGCTTAGTGGGTTAGACAATTAGCTACCCAGCCATGAGGACCTGAGTTTGTACCCCAACAGCTGTGTAAAAAGTTGCGAATGGGCACAGGCAGGCCTGGAGCTGCAGAGATACGAGAAGCAGATTTCTGGGACTTGCTGTCCAAGTTCACTGGAAGACCCTGTCTTAAGGAATAAGGCGGAGTGATAGACAGGACACCTGATGTCCTCCCCTGGCTTCTGCATGTCAGCATGCACAGGTGCATTCCTGCATTCTGTATAACACCACACTCACGCACACACACAAGGGAAGGTTACCCAAAATATTAAAGTAGGATTGCTATTATGGAATAACTGGTGCTTATTTAAAAAGTAGGTTCTCTGTCTCTACATGTGGTCTTGTATGTTCATTCCTTCTTTAGAAGACAACCCCAATCCATATCTGAAAAACAAAACCATATCATATAATTTATCTATTTAAATAGTAGGGGAAATCTTTTTCTCTTAAACCAATTTAGACTTGGTGTGTTTAATTTGCTTTTGTTTTTCCAAAGCGTCTTGCTTTGTATGTAGCCTGACTATCCTGGAGTTCATGACCTTCTGCCTCAGCTTTCCGTGCGCCGGGGATTTTTCCCCCCTTAGAGGCAGAACCTTTACTATGTAGCTCAGGCTGCTTTAAACTCATTGTGTAGCTGAGGATGACCTTGAACTTCTGATTTTCCTATTGTCACCTGTCTCTAACTGCTAGGATTATAGGCAAATGCTATGACACCCTGTTTATAAAGGCGGGGAATTGAACTCTAGCCTTTGTGTTGGCTAGATGAGCATTCTGCAAACTGAGTTAACATTCTCTGTTTTTTTGCGGCGGGGTCTCATGGATTGTAGGCTGGCCTTGAATTCATTATGTAGCAGAGGCTGCTCTTTAATTCTTGACCCTCCTGTCTCCAAATTCCAAGTGCTGAAATAGAGAAATGGGTAACCACACGCAGCTCAAATTTTATTTGTAATAGATGTAACCTGAATACTTTCCTGTTCTGGTCAGCCAGCCTCGAGGGCCGATTGTGGGAATCAACCCACATGAGCACCAATTGAAGGCGGGATTTAAATGAGTTTACCAGACCCAAGATAAATGATAAATGGGTGTTTTATTAGGGAAGAACTTACACAGATAAGAGTAAATAACCGCTGTGGCCTTCCTGCTCCAGAAGATGTGGTCTCTGTCCTTCCGAGGCTCTCCGTGACCCAAAAGAGGGTATGCCCGCAGCTCCTCTACCTTAAAAGGGCTCATGTCCACACCTGAAACCACGCCCAAAGGGTGTGGTCACAACCACAAGTTGACTGGCAAGGCAAGATGCCACTACACTTTCCAAAAAAAGAAGGAAAAAAAACCCCCAAAACTTATAGCTTCTTGTTTTGTTGGCAATTTAGGAAAGAACCTTTTTCCTTGGGTTCCCACCAGCAGTGAACATTTATCTTTCCATTTTTGCCAGTCAAGTGGATTTTTATTTATTTGTTTGTTTGGTTTGGTTTGGTTTTTGGGGGCAGGCTTTCTCTGTGTAAAAGCCCTGGCTGTCCTGGAACTCACCTTGTAGATCAGGCTGGTCTGGAACTCACAGAGATCTGCCTGCCTCTGCCTCCCTATAATGCTGGGATTAAAGGCATGCGTCACCAATACCCATTGTGAATTTTTTTTAGATGGCCATCAAATTTGAATTTCCATGTCTACTTGTTAAGTAGTTGGATTGTTCTTTTCAGGGTCTTTATATAGTTTTATTTTGGTAATTTCTTTGTCGTTGTCAAGAGCTCTTTGTATGTTTTACATGTAAACAATACATTTTTCTTAATCTATTTTCCCAAATATCCTTATGTCTTTAGATGTTGTGATAGTTTATTTAGCCCTGTAAAGTTCTTGATTTTGTGTGTGTGTGTGTGTACTTACATCTCTTTTCTTTTGTGGTTCCTGGGTCTTTAGTCCTTGGTAATACTTATATTTGACAAAGAAGCCAGACGCAGTCCTGTAATCCCAGTACTAGGAGGCCGAGGCAGGAGAATCATGATTTCAAGGCCAGGCTGGATTACACAGGAGCCCAGCTTCAAAAAGAGGAGCATGTTACTTTACAAAGCATGTTTCCCATCTCATGCTGCGCTACACCCCAGCAGTGTGGTGTCACAGTGTTTCTCGTCTCCTCTCTTCCCCACTCACTCTTTCCTGGTGGTAGTCTCTGTACCTCTTTTACTCTGCTTCATCCCTTAAGGTCAGGTGGCTTTGTGTTTGACTGAAGTCCTTCCTTCCCTGTGTTGTCACTCTGCCCTATGGCTGTAAGTGTTGCACTGAAAATTGTATTGCTGGTCAGTTTCTTTCTTACTAGGTCATTAACTTTTTTTACAGCTTAATGCCTAAGAGCCCACCCCACCTTCTCTGTGAACTGTGGCATTTATCTGGATATGCAGAACTGGGTCTTCTCATGCATCCCACCAGGAAATTGCTCAGCCTTTCTTAGCTGCTGATTCATCTTCCATCCTTCAAAACATGTCCTTTTTGTCATATGAAGCTTCTGTTGTCTCATGGCAGGCAGTCTAGGTCTGTCTGCCTCTCCCTTTTCCTTTGTCAGGTCTTTATCTCTGTATTCATTCATTCATAGTCTCAAGAGGTTCTCTCTCTCCCTCTCCTCACCTTCTCCTCCCCTTTTCCCTCTTCCTCTTGCCACAAGAACACACCTCTTAAGGAAACCCAAATGCTGATATATATACTTATGATACCACGTCTGACTTTATTCCAGCTTTGTTGAATTAATAGTATACTTTTACAATATATTTAGAAAAAGGAGTGGGTTTTTGAAATTGGAATAACAAAAGAGGTTGCAAAGGCTGCACTTAAACCAGATGTCGATATAGATTCTGTCGTGTATGTCTGTTAGTTCTGGGCAGGTGAAATCACCATGCTGAACTTAAGAAATGATGATTGAAAATATTATTACCTGTGTAATGTGTAGCATGCTTCATAAAGATTTACACTTATGCTTCCTAAAGGAAGAATATATAATTGGCTGGAAAATAATTTGTGGCTGAAAGTCTTAGAAAATCCCTCACTTTACTCAGTGTACTACAAAATGTTGACTTTTCAGTTCCCCCGGCAGTTGTCAAAATGGACATAATTGTGGTGCTTTTGCTTCTGCATATAGTTACAGTGGAAGAAAAAAAACACATTTTTTCCTTTAAAAATATTTTATACATGATTTTATCTTAGGGCCCAGGATCATTTCTTAGATTGGTCATTGTTTTCCTGACCAATAATTGTATTTGCTCCTAGTAGTCAAGAGACCAAGACAGGAAGATAGTGAGTTTGAACCAGCTTGACTACCCTGTCTCAAAAAAATAAAGGATTAGTGATTATACTCAGAAAACAGTTATTAGTGAAGCAGTTTACAAACAAAGCAAACAGATTTCTTTTGCACACCTGGAGTTTAAAAGCTGTTCCTCAAGGGTTATAGGCTTTAACACTAATCTTTGTTAATGTTCTGGAATGTTCCCCAGGAAATGAATGTTCCATAGAGCAGATGGAACATGTCCGGGGAATGCAGGAGAAATTAGCTCGCTTGAATTTGGAGCTCTACGGGGAGTTAGAGGAACTTCCTGAGGATAAGCGGAAAGCAGCCAGCGACGCCAACCTGGACAGGCTTCTGTCGGACGTGAGTGAAGCGCTGGTTTTTAAAACACCTTCTTGCAACAACACACACACACACAATTTGATTTTAGCTACCAGTGATTTTATATATATGTAATCATAAAATGCATATATGTGATATCACATATTATATATATATATACACACATAACACAATTTGATTTTAACTATCAGTGACTTTATATATTTGTAATCATGTATGTTGCATATATGTGATATCACATATTTCACATATATATATACACATATATATATATATACACACACACACATATACATTCATAGTGTTTTGAAGTCATCACCACCATCTAATTCTAGAACACTTTCTTTACCTCCTAAAGAAGTCTGTCCTCCCCACGCCCTAGCAACCCCTCACGTACTTTCTATCTTGATGGACGGGCCTCTGTGACACTTCATGCATATGACATTATGCAGTGTGTGCCCTAGTGGGGATTCTCTTAGTGCAGTGTCCTCAAATTTTATCTCTGTTACACTTGACTCTCTTTAAAGAAATAGTCTAAAAATGCTTAAACTTAGATTTATGGATGCAAACTTGTAAAGGAAATGCTTGCTTCTGTACATTTTTACATATGTGCCTGTGTTATACTGAGACCTCATCCATATGCAGACCATAAGCCCATAGAAGACACCAGCCAAAAGCCCTTTGCCTGCCTGGATGGCGTTTTAATTTTAAATACAAGCCACGGTTGGTCTTTATAGCCATTAGAACATTACTACATTTGTCAGTCTAGAGCTGCCATAACAAAGCACCCCAGACTGGGTTTATACACTGGGGATTTTTTCTTACATTCTGGGTGAGATCAAAGTGCTTCCTAAGGCTTCCATTCTCCATTTGGGTGGTCATCTCAGTGCTCATGTAAGTCCTCTCCTGTGCACTTCTTTCCTTGTTAAAGTCGTATTGGATTAGGGCCCATTCTGTTGGCCTCAGTCTGACAGGATCATCTCTTTAAAAGCTTGTCTCCCAATACCTACATACTCTGACAGTTAGAATGTATGAGTTGGGGATGGGGTGGGCTACAACTCAGCCCATAACATCTTGTAAATTTGCCTCTTTAAAACCTTTTTTAGGGGGCTGAAAAGCTGACTCAGCGACTAAAAGTACTTGCTGCTCTTGCAGAGGAACCAGATTCTGTTCCCAGCACCCACATGGCGGCCCTCAACCGTCTGTAGCTCCAGTTCCGGGGATCTGAAGCCCTCTTCTGGCCTGAGGGCACCAGGCACACAAGTGGTGCACATGCTTACACGCGGGCAGAAACTCATGCCATGTGCATGAAATAAAAATAAACAAAGCTTTTTTTTTTTTTTTTTTTTTTTTTTTGGTTTTCCGAGACAGGGTTTCTCTGTATTGTTTTGGAGGCTGTCCTGGAACTCTCTCTGTAGACCAGGCTGGCCTTGAACTCACAGAGATGAGATCCGACTACCTTTGCCTCTGCTTCCTGAGTGCTGGGATTGAAGGCGTGCACCACCAACTCCCGGTCCAAAATAAACAAATCTTTAAAACCATCTTTAGCGAGCTTGGGAGATGGCTCAGTCAGGAAAGTTCTTGTTTCACCAGCAGGAGGGCCTGAGTTCAGATCCCCAGCACCTGTGTACAGAGCGCCTAGAGTGCCATTGCTGGTGAGGTGGAGGTGAGAAGATCTGGGCTTACTGGCCACCTGCTCTTGCTGAAGTTGTGAGCTCCAGGTTTGCTGAGAAATCCTGTCTCAAAGAAATAAGGTGGAGAGCAGTTGAGGAAGACATAAAAGATTGACCTCTGGCTTCCATATGTGCACATGTTTGTGTGTGCGCACAGGAGCTTAGAGCACACAAAACCTTTTTAGAACAAAGGAAAACAATGAAGACAGACTTCAACGTAGTAGTTTAGCTTCATGTTCACCAGTGACGAAAGAGTTTGTTTCCGCTGATTTTCTTTCACTTTTTTTTTTTTGAATGAGGCAAATGTCAAGACAGGGTTTCTCTATGTAGTTCAGGCTGTCTTGGAACTCATTTTGTAGACCAGACTGGCCTCAAACTCAGAGAGCCACCTCCTCTGCCTCCTGAGTGCTGGGATTAAAGGCCTGGTCCCCCACCTCCTGGTGTCTACCCATACATTTAAAGCTTTAAGCCTAGAAGATTAGCAATGCATGCTTGTAACCCCAGACCTTGGGAAGTAGATGCAGGAGGAACAGGAGTTCAAAGTCAGCCTCACCTACATGAGACCTCCCTCAAAAACAAACAGTCCCTTCAAGCCTGTACTTTTAAATATCAAATCTGACATATAGTACTCAGTGTCACAGGTATTTCAGTTCATGTCTTATGCATCATCTCTATTAAATATAAGCTTACTTTGTGTACTTTTAGTGCATTTAGGAAAATACTGCATTTTGACAAAAGAACACTGAAGCTGAAACCAGGAGGCATAGTGCAATGCTTGTGTCAGTGTTGTTCTTGGTAACAGTGAACAGTCTAGTTAACCTTCCTTTTTTAAACTGTTTGGAGATACTGGAGATTAAGCCTCATGGATGCAAGACAAGCACTCCACCACTAACACTACGGCCTCAGCTAGCATCTCTATACCTTATATTTCTTCTTCTAAAATTAAAGAGAGTGTGGTCTGAATGTCTGTATCCTTCTAGAACTCCTGCTTTCAAGTTTCTCCAGAAAGTGGTGCAACAAGAGACTTTCTTTCAAAGAGAAATAGCAAACACAATAGAGATTACTGCCATTGTACATGATTCTAAGATTACTTCCAAAGCTCTAGTCTTTAGCATTTGCTTCTGCTCTCTCTTCAGCGTCTCTCATTCAAGCCGCAGCCACTTTATAGTTATTTTGTAAAAAGGAATTTCCCCGCCTAGGAAACTTGTTGAGAGTTTTTTTTTAATAGTTGTTGTTTCAGTTAAAGAAAACCTACATGAAGCGACTTTAATACATGGTTTACAGTGACCGACTAATATTTATCTTGTAAAAATTAATATCCAATTTGTTTCTTTGTGTTGCAGTTAGAAGAATTGAATTCTTCTATGTATCCTTTGCCTACTATCAACAGTGTAAAGTTCCTTATCTATAGTTCTGGGTAAATAATTCCTACCATATCTTATTTTATTTACTAGGCCTGTATCTCTTCCCTTTTAGTTTCCGAATCAAATTGTTTCATGGTTCATATGCTGAAATTCCGTGTCTGGCTTATTCTTTGTTTTACATTGTTTTTTCTTATTTTTCAAAACAAATTTAATTATTACTTTTCAAGCCATGAAAATTGTGTATTGGACTCTTAAGAATTATTTTGACTCTTAGATTCTGAAACTACCTGGGAGATGTCCAAAGATATACTTAATAGTACTACTTAAGGTGCATAAAATTGGAATTCAAGTTCCACTAAAACACAGCTTTCAAGAGGCCCTCCCACAGCTTATGAAGTGGCATCTCCACACCAAGCTAGTGCAGTGTAGACTTAACTTGAAGGAAAACACCAAGTCACTGGTAGGTTATTTTGATTTTGATATTTCAGTCTGAAACAATGACCTAAGGAACATTTCAAACTTTTTAAAATGTATTTATCAACATGATTGCTAATACACAAGAATAATATGAAACAGCCCTGCCTTCATCCTGTTTTCATATGAGAAGGAAACTCTTTGAACACCATAATAGCATGAGATAGGACTTTTGAAATGTGGTTCACAGTTCAGGAATGTGACATTTCACACCTTTAACATCTTTAAAGGGCTTTGTATAGTGATATGCGTGGGGAAATTTCTAAACTATATAGAATATGCAGAAGTTAGAATAGCAAGTCTGAATCCTGCTGTATCATTTTACACTGTTACTGATTGCTCAGCTGTGCAGTAACCAGTTAAGTCCGCTTTTGCTTTGAGCTTGCACGTGAAGATGAATTCCACTTGCCATGGCTAACTAGGTGTCTGCTCCTGTCCTCGCTTCCTTCTCTGTGTGGTACTGCAGGTGCTTAGAATCTGATTCTGCAATACATTTTTTCTCTTCAATTCTTGGTTTGTTTTTTACTCAGGATCACCTTCTACACCCCAGGCTGGCCTAGCACTCACTGTGTGGCTCAGTCTGGCCTTGAACTTGTAGCAATCCTACTGCCTCACTGCCTCTAGTCCTGGCTTAATACATTGGCTCTTGGCAATTCTTTTTTATTTTTATTTCTTACCGTTGTCACCCTTTAAAGGCTTTTTCCAGGTGATCACAGCTTAGATCTCATGTGAAAGCTCTTGTTCCCACTAAGCTTTCTTTGATGTTTGGGAGCACATCCTGTCCATTCTTGCCATGATACCCTTTGTTCAGCCTGCACTCTTGATGCAGATACACGCCAGCCTTCTTTCCCTCCTCTCTGTCAGACAGGTGACGTTCATGCCGGCCACTCCCATCAAACGTTTGGTTTGTACCTGTAAGTTAGCATTCTGCCTTACTTTACTGTCTGATGGTTCTTCTGTGTGTTTAAATCTCAAACCTCCCAACTAGACACAGGCCATGCCTCTGTCTGTCTGCTTTCGCAGCCTCTGCTGTACATGTGCTGCCGACTCTTGCTGTCCTCGGTGTATTCAGATCACTGTTTGAATTGGACCTTTAAAGGTCAGCAGCAGCTGAACAGTTTAGGACTAGGAAGGAAAAGAAAGATAGTCATGTGAAGGGTTAAGGACACATGCAGAAATTGTTTTCTTCAAGGATGAGTAAGATTATATAAAAGATTATAGAGTTGTGATAATTATTTTATGTGTGGCTTTGTAAGGAAATTGTTTCCCCAAACATGGTAAAATGGCTTCTTCAAGGGATTGTCTTAATCCGGTTAGTCTTTTAATGTTTCACTGGTTCCTTGTCATGAAATGACTCATGCTGCCTTAAAAATAAGCCTGTGCAGACATGATGCTACACTCCTATAACTCCACCACTGGAGATTGAGGTAGGAGGAGACTGCATAACTAGATCCTAAATAAATGTTATTAAGCTTCAAGTATACACATCCATTATTCTACATTGACTACTGTCCAAACTTGTTGGCAACACTGCATCTTTCCCTTGAAGCCTCCCCTGCTCTCCCTCCTTCCCTTATCCCATTTCTTCTGATTCCGGGTCACTCCGTGTAAATTCCTGAAATGTAAGAGAAATCCTCACTTTAAAAAGGAAATCTTCTTAACGATGAACACAGACAGAAACTGCACTTGGCAGATACACAGGACGTCCCCACCACGTCCGCCCGCTAGCGCAGTGTGCAGCCTGCTCTGGGGACTTGCAGAGAGGCAGCAGTCCTTACTCTTCCAGCCGAGTCCAGTAGCGGAATCATCTTCCACCACAAAACTCAAGTAAGGAAAGCGCAAGGGCCGTGACCGTGTTCCCACGCCGCTTCTCGTCAGTGTGCTTGCTGTAACTCACCGCTGTGGCTGTGGCCTGGCTGCGCATCGGATCAGGGTCAGGAAGCGGGATGCCAAGCTGTGCTGCTGTGTCTTCTGTTGCCTTAAGGGTTATACTTGAAATGCTTCGTGCTAAACGTTCTGTAGGGCTGAAGGATCTGTGCTTGCTGCGATCACCACACTGACCCGGTTCCGGTCATGCGTTGGTGGCGCACAGGCCTCCTGTGGCAGCCCAGCTTCAGTTTACGTCAGACAATCGGTACACATGCAGGTGTGTTCCCCAATGGCCAGTGACAAATGTTGGATAAGTATTTGTGAGATTTGCTATTTTTAATAAAGTGATTGTTTTAAAAGATCGTCTCTGATGTCTGTTTGGAAGACCCTGTAGTCTTCAATCTGGAAACAAGAGTTCAATCCTCCAAAGTAAATTGCAGGATTTTGCGCCATCTCGGCCGAATTCTGCACCTTTTGCATATTTAAATACTGTTTAATGGAAGGACATAAAGCTAGAGCTGGATGTGGCTCCCCATAGCTTTGTGATTTGTATTTGATTTCAACTTTCATTTTTCAGTGTAGCCCGCAAGGAATTGCCAGCTGGTAGTGATTGCATGGAGTAACAGGTACAGGAAAGGAGCCTAGCATGAGGCTCCGGCCAGGAAAACTCAGACACAGCCTCCCTACCTTTCCCTCATTTCTTAGTTTCAGTGATGAGGATCACACCCAGGACTCACGAGTGCTGGGAAGACAGTCATAGAACAACACCAGCCACTGTTTTTTAAAAATTATTTTTTTAACTCTTGACAATTTCGTGTATATACATGTGTCTTGATTATGCCACCCCAGCGCCCTCCTTCCAGTACTCCTGAATCCCTCCGCACTTTCCCTCCCACTTTCATTTCCTTTAAATTTTTTTTTATAACTCATTAGGTTCAGTTAGTGCTGCCCCCAAAGGAAAGTGACTCCCACTCCCCCAACAGCCATCAGTTGTGAACAGCTCTTCAGCTGGGATAATGCCTCATGAGCTCCTCTCGTCCATGGGGACTATTGACTGGCTTGACCCTACCCAGGTAACTAGTGCAGTGAGCTCATTAGAGCAGTCACCATGTCATGTCTGGAAGACAGTATCCCTCCCATCCCCTGGCTCTTACATCCTTTCTGCTTTGTTTTCCATGATGTACCATGAGCCTTGGGGGAGTTGATATAAGTGGATTATTTGGGACTGAGCATGCACTCTCAACCCTTTAGTCAGTTATGAGATTGCTGCCCACTGCAGAACCAAGTTTCTCTGGCCAGGGTTGAGAGCAGCACTAATCTATGGATATAAACATTTATAAATACTTAAAAAGCAATTTGACAACAATAGCAGGTACTCCCCTAGGTCCTGGGACCTCTCCAGCCATGGGCTTTTGACCAGGTTTATAGTACCAGACATGAATTCCATTCCTGTGGAGCAGACCTCAAATCCAATCCCAAAGCTGTTGGTTACCCTGTAACAGCCATGCCATTACTACACCAGTAGGCACATCTTACTTGGCAGGGTAGTAGTGTAGCATGTAGTCTGATAACTTTTCTCTCCCAGCAGACTATATAATACTATCTAGCACCATAAAACTAGCTGGCAGGAGTGAAGTTTCCAGATCAATTTCAATCTGATTTCTTTGTGTTCCTCAACATGGTCTTACCTTTTAGCTATGGTGGGCAACCAAGAATAATAATAACTTGTGTTATTTGGGGTGGTACCCTTAGGTCCTTTCTGACTAGTAACTCATAGGGAGGTGTCTCACACTTGACACTACGATTTTCATTTAAAAACGCTCCCTTTTGGGGGAACATTGTCCATTCATTAAAGATACCTCTGTTCAAACTCCTTTTGGAAATATTTTAAAGTTACTTTACAAAGCATAAGGCCTCTTCATACATCCTTAGTTGTGTTTGACTCACCCGCATACCGCAACCCTCATTCCTGCTTAAACAGGAATTCCTCTTAACATTACCACACACTCTTCCTTGTCACGTTTGTTTTGTGCACTCGCCCCATTACGTACGGCCCCTGTCACCTGTGTGCTATGTCTAAATTCCTGATCTCAAATAAAACACACATCTAAAGATTTGAAGCTAGGATCCACACATGAGAGAAAGGAGAGACATTTGTCTTTCTGGGCCTGAGTCACCTCTGTATTATATCCTTCAGTTCCATCCACTTTCCAGAAAATAGCAGAATTCCGTCTTCCTAACATCTACACAAACCGCCATGGTGTGTCATCCTAACATCTACACAAACCGCCATTGTGTGTCATCCTAACATCTACACAAACCGCCATGGTGTGTCATCCTAACATCTACACAAACTGCCATTGTGTCATCCTAACATCTACACAAACCGCCATTGTGTGTCATCCTAACATCTACACAAACCGCCATTGTGTGTCATCCTAACATCTACATAAACCGCCATGGTGTATCATCCTAGCATCTACACAAACCGCCATGGTGTATCATCCTAACATCTACACAAACTGCCATGGTGTGTCATCCTAACATCTACACAAACCGCCATTGTGTATGTCTAGGCTGTCAATTGAGCAGCAGGTATCCCTGTGGTAGGCTGCAGCATCCTTTGGTATATGCCCAGAAGTGACACAGTTGGGTCATATGACTAGCTTTTGGAAATACCTCCACATAGATTTCCATAGTGGCTGTACCAGTTTTCACTCCTACCAACAGTGTGAGGGTCAACATTCCCCTCCCCTCATGTTCTCAGCATTTATAGTACTGATGATGGCCATTCTGACTAAAGCAAGATAGAATCTCAATTTTAATTCACATTTCCTTGGTGTCTGGCCACCCTTTTAACATAGATGTTGTAAAAATCATTGTATTTTAAAAATTGAATGTAATGTTTTAATTGATCATCTCCAGAAACCTAGTAGAGAGCAAACTTTTAACTCAGCTGTGTGTCTCCTTTCAGACTTCATTCTTGGGTTTTGTTTAGTCCCGCTATTCTTAGGGTTGGTAACTTTCCCATACTTACTGTACTGTGGAATCTTTCCATGTTAAGAACAAAAGAAGAGGAGGGAGGGATGTGTCAGAATAAACAAAGGCATTTTTATCAAAGCAATTACAAACATGTTGACATTCATGTGTCTTTCTAACCCCTGTACAGCTAATACTGCTAAAACAAACAAACACAAAACTCTAAAATGTCCTGAGGATTTGCTAAAGATGAACATGAGAAAGGCTAAGAAACGCCTCCCTTTCCAGCACAGGACTTAAATAAACATCGCTGGCTAGATAAAACTAAACAAACTTCACTTCAGCATCTAAGCCTTGCTTGGCAGACAGCAGCTTTGTGTCTGTCACCTCCTCCAAGCAACGTTTCCAGACCCCCCGAGATCCGGCAGCAACCGCTTCCCACAGCCAGCAAAAGAAACTCACTCAGAACCTGAGTCCAGAAAACCGAGGGAAGATGGTGTAAGAACTCTCCTGCCAGCCGGGTGTTGGTGGCACACGCCTTTAATCCCAGCACTCGGGAGGCAGAGACAGGCGGATCTCTGTGAGTTCGAGGCCAGCCTGGTGTACAGAGCGAGTTCCAGGACAGTCTCCAAAACAATAGAGAGAAACCCTGTCTCGAAAAACCAAAACAAAACAAAAAAAAACCAAAAACCTCTTCTGCGAGGAACACCGAGGTTGGCCACTGGAGCGCAGCACTGAGCAGGGACATGGGATCTGTGGGGTGTGGTTGTCTGCCTGTGTTGTCATCCCTATGGAGATGGGGCTGTCCCTGTCCCACCTTCGTCCTCAGGCTGTGATCTCTCCTTTTCACAGCACAGTATCAAGAAGAGACTGCTGCCACCCTGCTCAGACCTTTGACCACTCCCAGAGGTAAAGCCCCTGCCCCTTCACGATGTCTTTTCCTTGGGGCCTCTGGAAAAATCTTGAGCAGTGTCCCATGGTCTAGCAGCCCCCCAGCAGGGTCAGGTTTGATGGGTCTTCCCTCCTCCAGAACACTCCTGGGGTAGGAAGAAGTGCTCCAGGACTTTAGAAAACACTGATTGGATCAGGCTAGCTCTCCAGATTGGATCAGGCTAGCTCTCCTCCTCTGACTTTTTCATCTTGTTCTATTTGCTGCTCTGGAGTCCAAAGACGTGGGAAGGGGCCGTAGGACTAATACAGAAGAGGCTAAGACTCTACAGTGACTACTTTGTGGCTCTAATATTCCACATGCTATGGTTTCATGAATATAGTGAATGATTACGATATATTGCTAAGTGTTTATCTTTTGAGAAGTACTGGTGGTGTGCTTATTAATAAACGTTGTTCTAAAGATCGGGACAGTTTCCTGGCACCGTCTGTGTTCGAGTTCACACAATTCAAGCAGTGGTTTGCACACCCCACCTGTGGCAGTCTTGCCTCAGAAACTTGACTCCTGTGTTGCTCAGGAGCCTCAAAATTGTGTTCTTAAAACACTAATTTCAGCGGGAGGGAAAAACAGGAGTGGAGGAAGTAAAAAACAATTAGGGCGACGGTAATGCACTGTTTTTCTAGAATCGATTTAAACAGCACAGCTATTTCTTGCTTTGATTTTATAGCTTTAAATCAGTAAGAATATCTAGCATTTAAAATACCAGCACAGGCCCGTTTTTCCTTAATCTCTCTCCCTCTCTCTCCCTCTCTCTCCCTCTCTCTCCCTCTCTGTCTCTCTTTGTCTCTCTCCCCGTGTGTGTGTACAAGCACTAGGATGTCCACAGAGCCCAGATGAGAGCTGGAGTTAGAAGTGACAATGAGGTATGCCATGTGGGTGCTCCCTAAGAGTTGCAAACAGAACAGCTGAGCCATCTTCCCCCAAACAAATGCATTCTGTTTATGATATTCTGAGATGTACCCTCTGTAGGAATGGAGCAGGACTGACCCGCTCTGCACCTCTCCAGACAGCACAGATCACTCAGGGAAACAGTGATCACACAGGAGACATGCTTCTCTATTTAGGACTTTAGAATGGTTCTCTTCTTCTCCTCCTCCTCCCCCTCCTCCTCCTTGATTTTGGACAGGGTTTCTCTGGAGCTCACTCTGTAGACCAGACTGGCCTCGAACTCAAGATTCACCTGCTTCTGCCTCCCAAATGCTGAGATTAAAGGTGTGTACCACCTCTGCCTGGTTGGAATATTTTTCAATAAAGTGTTATAGTTTTCTTCATAATATTTGTACTTACTGTTTTCATGGTACTTAATAGTTTTGGATGTTGTTATAACTGTATCACTTACTCCTATTTCCAGATCAGTGTCAGCCCCTACAGTCACCCCTAGTCTCCCCTCCCAAGTATTGCTCTCTCTCTTCCCTTCTCCTAAGGAAACTGTCTTGATTCTTAACACCTTCTTGGTCAAACTGGATCATTTCTGCTCCTGGATTCTGTCACTAGGGTATGTGTGTGATCATCTGTGGTTGTGGTTGTGTGTAACAGATCCTCATCCCACGATACACAGTGCTGTTACATGGATATATGATGCAGGATGCATTTATCCATCCAGCTGTTGATAGACGCTTGGATGATTCCCTCTCGAAGCAATTCAGCACCTCAGGAAATATTCTTTTCGATGTTTTCATTCATACGTGTATTTTTTCTGTTAGGGCAATTATGTGTATATGCTCAACTTCAGTAAGTAATGCCAAACAGCTGTCTAAAGTACATTTCCACCAGCTGTGTCTGAGTTCCCAATGCTCGCCTGCAGCTGGCTCTCTAAGTCTGGTGCCAGGTAATAAGCCAGGCCAAATGTCAGTGGCATGAACAATAATCATTCATTTTCCACACTGTTGCAAGTGTTCTGGCTTCCTCAGTGTATCTCTTCCACTTGTAGACCTCTTTGGTCTCTGTGGGTACTTGCCCAGACTCGGTATACACTCACACAGAGATACACACATGCACACACGGTATACACTCACACAGAGATACACACATGCACACACGGTATACACTCACACAGAGGTACACACATGCACACACGGTATACACTCACACAGAGATACACACATGCACACATGGTATACACTCACACAGAGATACACACATGCACACATGGTATACACTCACACAGAGATACACACATGCACACACGGTATACACACATATATAAATAAAATAAAGTGTGAAAAAGAAATTCTTTCACTTGTTAAATGGGAGGATCTACCCAATATCACCCTAATTCTTTCAAAGACCTTACCAAAGAGTCCCCTGTTCACACCATTTGTTTGATCTTTGTCCAAAGGCTTTGTTACATGAGACTCTGTGGTCTGCTGGAAACTGTCTACCCCAAACTAAGCAGGTCTCTCATGTCTTACTGGGCTTCATTATGTGTAAATAAAGAAGTTAGGCAGCCATCCTTTTCTATATTCTGCTTGGAAGCTATGTAGTCAGGTGCGTGTGTTCAGTGTTACACTGTGTTAGTCACAGGAGCACAGGTAACAGTGTCACTCCTTTTCCATAGCTCACTAACACAGTTCATCTTCTAGTCCTAATTTACCCACTCTTCGGCTCCTTATCATCCTGGACCCAGTGTCAATGGTGTTTTAAGTTACATATGACTCAAATATACTTCCAGGCATATTGGGTTTTATTAATTCTGAATAACAAGACACCTTAAAAAAAAAACCAACAACAGTGGCTCAAAACAATAGTAATACATTGTCCTGATTCAGGTGATCAGCTGGGTGACCTGGGCTGCTGTCCTACTCTGTGTGCTGTTGGCTGGAGCTATTCTTTCCCAGAAATGTTAGAAATCAGGTGCCCACACACACGGCTCGGTTTCTGGACTTCTATCGTTTTAGCTATTCTTGGGCCAAAGTCTCACGCGCTTATTACCCTAAGCAGATCCTGACACGTGTGCTGCAGCCCTGACTCTTCTCTGCCAAGTTGACTTTTTCTATTCTAGATACATTTTTTTTTGGTTTTTACAAGACAGAGTTTCTCTGTATTGTTTTGGAGGCTATCGGTCCAGCCCGGCATCGAACTCACAGAGATCCACCTGCCTCTGCCTCTGGGATTAAAGGCGTGTGCCACCACCGCCCGGCGTCTAGATACATTTTCTAATCAGCTTTTCAATGCTTTTTGGGTTTTGGTGCTGAGTAATAGAGTAATTTGGGAGAAGCAACATCTATAACATACTTGTTCTTATGTATATCTCTTAACATTTCTCTTGATACAGTTTTTAGTAGTCTATGCAGAATGCTTGGCCCTCATATTTGAATTGGACTTTAAATATTATTTATAAATGATGCATTATTGTTTAAAAATTGTTTGTGAGGGGCTGGAGAGATGGCTCAGTGGTTAAGTGTCTGCTTTTCTGGAGGATCCGGATTCAGTTCCCAGCACCCACATGTCAGCTCACAACTGTCTGTACCTCCAGCTCAAGGGAGTCTGATACCTTCACACAGATGTCCATGCAGGCAAAACATCAATGCACATAAAATAAAAATGGATCATTGAAAAAATTTTAAACATAGGTCAGGTGGTGGTGGGGCATGACTTTAATCCCAGCACTTGGGAGGCAGAGACAGATGGATTTATGTGAGTTTGAGGCCAGCCTGGTCTACAGAGTGAGTTCCATGGTAACCAGAACTGTTACACAGAGTCTTGAAACAAAAACCAAATAAAAATGTTTAAATATTTGTGAGTATATGCAAATAAAATTTATTTTGCCTGTTGACCTTGTAAGAAGCAGCCTTTAAACCTGTCAAGTTATCTGTTGATTCTTTAGTACATATGTTGAAAATGACAATTTCATTTTTTTTCTGTTATTCGTTTATCACACTGCAAAGAGCACTCAGAACAATGTCAAATAAAGATGCTAATTGTAATCGGAGGAAAGGATCCTCTTCACTGTTGAGTTTAATGCTTAACATATGCTTCTCTTGCTTTTTTTTTTCAAGACAGGGTTTCTCTGTGTAGCTTTGCAGCCTGTAGACCAGGCTGTCCTCGAACTCACAGAGATCCACATGCCTCTGCCTCCTTAAGTGCTGGGGCTAAAGGTGTATACCATCACTGCCTGGTTTTTAAAATGCACTCTTGTTTGGATTAGGAAATCCCTCTATTGCGACTTTCTTAAAATTTGTGTGTGTGTCATGAATAAATGTCAAAAGCTTATAAAATATACCTTTTGTGTTTACTGAGATTATTATATAACTTTTCTTCTTTGTTTAGTTTATGATAAGTGCATTGATTTTACGATGCCAAATTATATTTGACACATTGTAGTACATGTCATAATGTCAAATTTACATTTTAAGAATAAATCTGGTGTGGTAGAGTATTATTTTAATATGTGTGACTTTTGTTTATGCTGCATTTGTTTAACTCCATGAAGCTGTGTTACTGTGCCTGTCTAAAACACCTGATGGTCTAATAAAGTACTGAATGGCCAATAGTGAGGCAGGAACAAGGATAGGCGGGGCTGGCAGGCAGAGAGAATAAATAGAAGGAGAAACAAACCGAGGAGGAGGAGCAACAAAAAAACAAGGGGAAAAGGATACCAGGGGCCAGCCACCCAGCCACCCAGCCACCCAGCCACCCAGCCACCCAGCCACCCAGCCACCCAGCCACCCAGCCACCCAGCCACCCAGCCACCCAGCCACCCAGCCACCCAGCCTCCCAGCCAGATGAGGAGAAAGAAGGAAAGAAAAGGTATACAGGAATAAAGAAAGATCAAATCCTGGAGGCCAAAGATAGATGAGATATTTAGTTTAAGAAAGCTGGCAAGAAACAAGCCAGGCACTCATAACTAAGGATAAGCCTCCGTGTATTTATTTGGGTGCTAGGTGATCGGCCCCTCAAAAAATCAAGAGTGAAACATGGCTCAGCAATCCAGAGCTGGGGATGTAGCTCAGCCAGTAGAATACTTGTCTGGCATGCCTACACCAACTCTGATTCAGCAACAGAACTTCCAAAAACACGTTTATCTTTCCACTTTCCCAGCAAAGTAAGAACTTGTTTACATCCAGATCCGGATACATGTATATAAATACAGAATAAATGCAACAGCCTGGTGTTAGTGGACACTTGGTGAATATTTTCACAGTCTACATATGTTTATGCATAGTCATCTGAACTATAAATTTATGTATGGTTTACCTATATACTAATGGATACAGTAATTCTCTAATTCCTACAGAGAAAGCAGTTAATGCTGTGGTTGTTTCTAAGCTCTCTTAACCATACATCTGTTAAATTGAACCAATAGTTCTTCGAAGCAGAAGGAAGTACTTTGCTGAGATGTCATTTGGGAATTTTCCTCAGAAAAGCCTGGAAGTGGAGAGTTTCCATACGAGGTTCAGCACCTGGACTCCATTTAACAACCAGCCCTTAAACAGACAGGTGAGTTCCACACTCCACGGCAGAGATGAGTTCAATTGGTAAAGTCAGTTTTACTGGGTATGTTGAGTCTTATGTTGTCATGTTTTTAAAGAAAAATCATTTAGCTTTTGAGTCCTAAAAAGAAGCAAAAAAAAAAAAAAACCTGACTATTTCTCAAAGTGAGTGTCTCCTCACCCAAGACTATCTGTTTCCTAGGGAGGCACCATGTCTGCTACCCTCCCCCCCAACCCTCTCTATCTCCCCTCTGTTGAGTGTAGCCTTCCCTGCCATCTGCCTGGGCCCTGCTGCTTTGTCTGAACCCCCAAATAACTCACAGGATGCTGCATTAATTATGAGGCTGTTGGCCATTTGCTTGGTTTCTTACTGGCTAGCTCTGACTTAGGTATTTACCTCATACTTGTTAATCTAAGTATTTTCTCTTACCGGAGAAAGGGGTCCAGACCTCTTATTCCTATGGTGGCTACATGATGTCTTCCTGTGTTTCTCTCTCTCAGAATCCTCCTTGACTCTTAGTCCCACCTATCTTGCTTCCCTATTGGCCAACAGTGCTTTATTGACATATACACAGGACTTCCCTATCACCCCACCCTCTCTACCCCCCCACCCCTACTTTCACTCTGCACCTCCAGGATATCATGGGCTTCTGTAGTGGGGAAGGGAAATAAGTAAAGGGCTTTGGAGAGGTGGCAAGGGCACTTTTATGTATGGTTCTATGGTTCTTTAATCCATCAGAGAATACAAGAGAGTAAGAAAAGAGATACCTTAATAGAGGGAGCCATCATTATAGGTTTAAAGAGAAATCTGACACTAGGGAAATGTCCAGAGATCTACAAGGATGACCCCAAATAACAATCTAAGCAATAGTCGAGAGGCTACCTTAAATGCCTGTCCCCGATAATGAGATTGAGGACTACCTTTATGCCATCCTAGAGCCTTCATCCAGTAGCTGATAGAAGCAGAAGCAGACACCCACAGCTAAACACTGAGCTGAACTCCTGGAATCCAGTTGTAGAGAGGGAGGAGTGATGAGCAAAGGGGTCAAGACCAGACTGGAGAAACCCACAGAAACAGCTGACCTGAACAAGGGGGAGCACATGGACCCCAGACTGACAGCTTAGAAACTAGCATAGGATGGAACCAGGCCCCCTGCATGTAGGTGTCAGTTAGGAGGCCTGGGCAGTCTATGGGGCCCCTGGTAGTGGAACAGTATTTATCCCTAGTGTACAAATGGACACTGGGAGCCCATTCCACATGGAGGGATACTCTCTCAGCCTAGACACAAAGGGTAGGGCTTAGACCCTGTCCCAAATGATGTGACAGACTTTGATAATCCCCTATAGAAGGCCTCTCCCTTTCTATGGAGCAGAAGAGGGATGGGATGGGTCGGGGGGAGCATGGGAGAATGGGAGGGAGAGGGACCTGGGATTATAATTATAAATAAGATTATTTCTAATTTAAATAAAAAAGGGAAAAAAGAAAAATATACTACTCCGTTGTGTGCTCACTTCATGATTCCATGTAACCCGAGAGCTCCTGTTCTTTTGAAAAATAATTCAAGAAGAATTATTTGAACAGTAGGGCAGTCTGACCAGGTTTCATGGAAACAGAGCTCATGTGGGTTCAGCTGCTTCCATAGCAGGAGAGTAGGTGTAGCTGGTGGATAAAGCCTGATCTACAATAAAGGCAATGGATTTGTATATGTCTTTGTGTAAGCAAAACTGGGCTGAAACCCAGCTTTCAGAGATGTTGGTTCATGGTGTATGTCCTCACTGGAGACACAGTTTAACAATGGCATTGTGCAATAATTACTCATTTTTAGTTTTATGGGCCTTATAAAGCCACAAAGCTAGGAGTAAGAAAACCAAATCTGTATTAAATGGTCCTGCGTCCACAATTCCGTGAGTAGGGCTTGTAGACAGGATGAAATACTGGATTCTTGCCCTGGCCTACACTAACCTAGGTAAATACAGGAAGAGTGAATCACCATTGCCCTGTGTTCTCCAGGGGTGATTCTTGGCCCCTTTGTAATTACACCACCCCTTACCCCCACCCCTGTTTTTCCCTCTGGCCCATCCAACAAGCCCTGGCTTGCTTGGATAGCTGGATAAAAACACCTTAAACCCAAAGCAGAGACCCTACAGCCCATGTGAAAGTACTTGTAAACTACCACCAACGATGTAAACATTAGCTATGGGGTTGTTAGTTGACCAATTGCTTAGCAACTGCGAACTTATGGAAGTGGACAGTGAAATCTCATTTTCCTCTCTTCTAGCTCTTTCAAGAAAGAGTTACTCTCATAAGTCACTGGTTTGACCTCTGGACCAATAAGCAACGGCAGGAATTCTTATTCACAATTCTTTCACAATGCTCTAAGTCACAACTAAGGTAAAAGTAACATAGTGATATAATTATTGGTTCTTAAGAAAACCAAATATGGTGATATGTTTATATAACCCTTAAGGGGTTTTTCTCTTTTCCCCCATAAAAATGAGGCAATTGTTATTTTATGGCTTATGAATGGATTTTTCTAGTGCCTGCTTCCTCCTCCAGATTGAAACAGAGCCCTGGGGCTTAACACCTTCATCCCAATAGGAGGCTGTTCCATTTTTGCAAACACTTGTCAGTGGCTTGGTCTATTCTCCTGGACTATTAAATTCTTCTAGGAACTACCAGATAGAGAATATATGCCAGATGGGTATCTGGTACATAGGTAAACATTTCATAAATGATTATTAAACAACGGATGGATGTAAAAAATGTAAGAAGGGATAATACTAGTGGCCTTTAGGATTATGAGAAGATATATAGCAACCAGATATTTATTGTTTTAATGAATTCCTGTTCCTATTCCTTCCTTCCCCTTTGACATAGATAGTGTGACATTTGTTAGTGGAAATCACAGCCAGGGAGGCTAATGTTCTGGTCAGGATTTAGTATTCTAGAGGTCATTAGCTTTCTCTCTCTGCCTCTTTTGAGATTTATTCATTTATTACGTATGCAGTGTTCTGTCTGTATGCCTGCACACCAAAAGAGGGCACCAGATCTCATTATAGGGTCGTGTGGTAGCTGGGAATTGAACTCAGGACCTCTGAAAGAACAGGTGGTGCTCTTAACCTCTGAGCCATCTCCCCAGTCCTTCATTAGCTTCCCTTCTATTATTGTAACAAAGATTCGACAACTCTTAGATACTTCCCAGTTAGCAGAGCAAACATCAGACTCGAAAGATAATCAGACCCACCAGTGGCTTATTGACTAGGCAGCTAAATGTTAGAAATGGTCTCTTGTAAGTGAAATTGGAGGTACTCAAAGATGCATGGCAGTATAGTCTGGAAAGCCCCTCAGTATTCTCAGACCTGACTAAGAACCTAGCTGGGCCAGTAGCAGGTTCCAAAAGGATGGTTTTGTAGGATTCATCTCCAAAGAGGTGACCTTGAACCCACCTGGGATAAGTGCTGGTAACATCAGCCAACGATCACAATTGAATGGCATTTCTGAGATACTGTCTTTGTCCATGGAGTGAAGCTCTTTACCCAGTGGACAGAGAACTGGAACTCTGTCAAACCAGCAGAGGAGAGTGTGGCTTATTTCCTACTGTTTGCTTAGTGAAACTGGGTATATCACCAGTTTGGGTTAGTTGCTTTCACTCTGAGCTCAAGGAGAGGCTAACCTTCAGTTTCTTATACAACTATCAAAAATCATCAAGAGGTGAGTGCGGTCAAACTGACTTGTACTCCAAAAGCTGCCTTGTACCCTCCTTCACCTTTCTCTGCCCAGCACACTGCGATGGTTTTTGTTTGTTTGTTTTTCCCTCTTCTCCCTGGGTTCTCACTTCTGCATCTGTGGGCACACAGTAGATTGTCCCCTGAGGCTTCCTGGTGGTATCACCAGAAGGAGACAGCTCCCTGCTGTGTTGAATAAATTGTGCAGACTCTTTTATTTAAATAATGCTTATTTATTTACATGTGTGTGTCTAGGGAAGGGGTGTCAATGGAAGTCTGAGAGGATTCTGATCCTTTGAAGATGGAGTTATAGGCACTTGTGAGTTGCTGTGCAACGTAGGTGCTGGGAACTGAACTCTGTATGTATGTACTCTTAACCACCAAGTTTCCTCCCCAGCCCAAGTAGAGGCTCTGCTGTCAGTGTCTGAAGGTCAGGAAGGCATTTTTTACTATCACCAATTGCTGTGATCCCTTCCACCCTGCCTTGCAGCTTTCCAGAAAAAAAAAAAAAAACAGACCAAACTTCATATCCATCATGGCTTTGTACAGTGCATTCTAGTCTCAGGGACCATACACCAAGCAATTTCTGTTGTCACCACTGGAGGTCATTAGAGATCTTGTGGTATATTTGAGGCCTCTTCACATAGGCCTAACATGCAGTCACAGGAATTGCACCCTTTGCTAACTGAATTCTGCTTTCTGTGGGATAAGACTGTGTGACCAACCTGTTCTATGGAATTTCTTTGCTTTCTTTGCTAGCTGCTGTGTTCCCGACAAGAGAGCAACAAGTGAGTCATAGTTCATGCTGCCATTAACATGCTCTAGACTGCTGAGCTCATAGGAAGCTGTGCATGAGTTTCTAGATTTGAACTTCTGAGATCATCTTTAACTTGTAGAGATGGTTTTGTTATAGAACATAATCTGTCTACACACACACACACACACACAAACACACGTATGTCTTGACCTTCTGTGGTTGGGTGATTTTACCTACCTCTCTACTGTTTCCAAAGGATCATTGTGGGTTGCCAGACTCAATCAGACCTGTGTTCCATTATAGTGAGCTCTAGAAAATCAACTCATTTTTGAACAAGTTAATGTAATCAGCTCCTCTTAAAACATCTTTATTGAGATACAATTCATATACAATAACATCTGGCAAGTGAAGGACTCAAGTGAATACTTTTAGAACATTCACATAATTTTGTGGTCACCATACAATCTAAGTCTAACACATTGCCATCCTTCCCAGAGCATCCTCCTAGTCAATAACAGTCACCCCCCTATCTCCTGTCCATTCAAATGTGTTCAAACACAAGTCTACAGCCTGTCTCTCTAATGTAACCCCCTCTGACTCTCCCTATAAATAGAGCCAAGTAATATGTGACTTATTGTTTTTTGTAGCTTCTTTTGTATATTAAAATTTCAAAGCATAAACACTTTATAGCACACATTAGGACTTCCTGTCAAATAATATTCCATTGTGTGGATTTGTCCTATTTTATCCTGTCATCAGTCGACAGACTTTTGATTTGTTTCTCCTTTGGGATGTTGAAGATAATGGTCGTGTGAACATTTGCATCCAAATTTTTCTAAAGGGGTGCTTGCATTTATTTACTTATTGGTTTTTTGAGACAGGGTTTCTCCATGTAGACCTGGCTATCCTGGAACTCACCCTGTAGACCAGGCTGGCCTCAAACTCACAGAGATCTGCCTGCCTCTGCCTCCTGAGTGGGATTAAAGGTGTGTGCCACCACTGCCCAGCTAAAGCGGTATTTTTATTTTCCTCTTTTTGTTTGTTTGTCTCAACAGTTTGGTTTTGGACCAATGTCTAGTTTCTGTGTATCTGTCAGATTCGTTTATTTAGTATATGTGGGGGTGGTATGGCCATGAACCCGCTATGGGGTGAGTATGGAGGGCAGACAACCACTTGTGGTAGTTGGTCTTTTATTCTACTGTGTGGGTCCCAGTGATTGAATTCATGTAGTCAGGCTTGGCTGCAAGTGCCTTTACCTGTGGCCATTTCTCTGGCCCTTTTATCATTCTTAAGCATATGTATAAGAGGCCTGAGTGGTGGAGTGCGTGCCTAGCATGTTCAAGGGCAGGTTCAGTCCTCAGTATGGGGAATAAAACTCTGAAGTATGTTTAGGAGAGAAATAAATGGCCCTAACAGTAACAGTACCATCAAACTTGTTTATTCAGTGTTTCTTTTGAATCTTCCTTATTCCTGTGGTCTTTCTCCCCTCATAACTGTAAACTGAATAAATAAGAGAAACATACAGCACTTGAATGCTTGAATTCTTGTGTAAACTCTGTTGTATGTATACTTTTCTAATGACAGAGGCCATTGTTTGTTTTACAGTCTATTTTTTTTTTTTTTGGTTTTTCGAGACAGGGTTTCTCTGTATTGTTCTGGAGGCTGTCCTGGAACTCACTCTGTAGACCAGGCTGGCCTCGAACTCACAGAGATCCGCCTGCCTCTGCCTCCCGAGTGCTGGGATTAAAGGTGTGCACCAACGCCCGGCTACAGTCTATTTTTTAAAAATCTTTTTCAGACAATATATTCTGATCACACTTTTCTCCTCTTCCAACTCCCCCCAGATCCTCCCCACCTCTTCACATGCCCGATTCCACTCCCTTTCTGTCTCTTGGGGCCATTGTTTTAAATGTTTATTTCGTTCTTCCCAAACATGTTTTAATTCAGATAGCCACACTTATAAACATGGTATTTCAATATCAATATCAATATTGAAATAGGAATATGTTATCACAAGTTTCTTTGAAACTTTATTCATAACCTCCATGACATATACTTAAATATCCAAGACTTAATAGTCCACAGTGTTAACTTTTAGGATAACCCTAAGTGGAATTTTATAGTAACTAAGGTATTTTTCACTCATTTAGTTTCCCTAGCCATCCTTCTGGCCAGTTCTTCTCTTAACTAAGAGTCCCCACTCCTGGAAGTGTTTCCATGCCTCCTTCATGCGTTTCCCCCAGGACATAAACTCCCGTGTCAGCAGGCTTCATGGTTCACACCGGTGTCTGCCTTCTTCCAGTTGACTCAACAGACATCTCAGGGCAACTGGTTGTTTGTATCTGTCACACTCGGAGGAGCCTCTAAGGACTGTGAATCGCTCTCCCTGCTGCACTGGTGGGACCGGTTTTAAATGGCTTCAGCCCAGCTGCCAGCAATGATTTCCTACAAAGCCCTTTCGTTCCAGACCGGGAGAAGTTTAAACTTGTCGCCTTCCTGGGTGGGTGGGGCAACATTCATGCAACTGCATTTTCGAGAGTGGGGGGAGGGAGGGACAGAAGAAAGAAAGAAGGAAGGTCATGAGCAACGCAAGAGAGATCAGCTGTGGTCATTGTCTCCACCAGAGCAGAACGGACTTGGGGGTGGGCAGGAAAACATGCATCCCTGTATACTTAAGAAAGAACACCACACCCACTTCGGTAGGCTCACCCACTCCTTCCACGAGGCGTCCAGTGAGGGAAGTCTCCCTTGTGTGTGCAGTTTTTCAGAGACAACGCACTTCAGGCTTCATTTGGAACCTAGTAGAGCGAAGCTCTGTTCACAAACTCATTCTAAACAACAATATTTCCACGTAGCAACGGGGAGGTTAAGAAGCAAATGAATATCAGCCAGTGATGGTCTAACCCTAA